GGATATCATTTTTCTAAATTTAAGTGTAATGAGAAGTCATGTTATGAGGTCAGTGAAAGATAGATTCCGGATGATATTGTGATTATCAGATTTTTCTGGATTTGAGACACATTCAAAGGAGGACTGTAGAAAATGAACATCTTTGTATAAAGTGTACCATGAGAATATTCAAATCAACGAAACATCATGGATTCACGATCACTTCCTGACTTCTATAATCTAATCTTTGACTATTTTTCTTATGAAACTTAAGTTTATAATTAATGTATATGTATGTAACCCCTTATTAACTTCGTATGATGCTCTTGAATAATTACACATGAAAAGAAAAGATTCGCAGTATTACATACATCTATAATATTAGAAAAAACTGAAGATATAATCATAATTAAACAAACAGCTCTCAACTGTTTAACAAAGCCAAGATGAAATCCAAGGCCAAATTCTACCTGGTGCTCTTCCAACTTTAATGGGAAAAGATTGAAAGCAAATTCGAAATCTCCGAAAACATATATCAAGCAAATATGAATCCATATAGGAGCAAAAAATATATTAAGATATAATTTTTTGAAGCCTTATGGCTACTGCTCTGCGGTATCACTGAGGAGAAGAATTGCAAATTTGCTTCGACTTTTCAACTTTTTACCCTATACAATATCGAGAAATATTTTCGGATATTTTAATTTTAATTTGTAAGGTTGTCTTTAAAGTAATGGGGTTACCTATTTGTTTTGATAAGGTGTAAGTTTACAACTTTTTTAAAATTGGTATTTTATTTTAAAAATTTGTTGAAACATGTTAACTTGAAAAGGACTTTTTCAAAAAACCTCTCATTGATTTCGCATTACATTTTGAATATAAAATGTCAAGTATGTTACCAAGCAACGATTTCCTGAAGATTTATTATCGAAATGATTTGAATGAACACACATAACATCCTTCTGATATTTAAAAGTTGCCAAACAACAGCCTTAATCAAAAGAAATCTGTAAAATAAATTTTGTTCATACTACAAACTCTTTGTTTAAGCAGAGCATTGTTTTGGTGCAATATATTCTTGAAGCTGAAGTTTTCAGTGTCGCAAAATTACACTTTTTGTTGACACTTCCATATTTCATTGAAATATGATATTGGTATCAGAATCGGTAAACTCTGGCTGAAAAGGGACAAGAACGTTTGTGCCATGAATAATTTTCTCGAAATAAACGATTGATTGATTGATTGAATGTTGTTTTACGTCCCATTCGAGAATTTTTCACTCATATAGAGACGTCACCATATACCGATGAAGGGCTTCAAATTTTGACCTTTACTCGGCATTTAGTACCATTGAGCAGTGAGGGATCTTTATCGTGCCAACGGCTGCCGTGACACGGGGCCTCCGTTTTTAAGGTCTCATCCCAAAGACCCGTAACTTTCACTTCAAAGTGCTCAGCGCATGGCGAAGGAACAGTTTTTATCGACTTAGGTCAGTCGCGGCCGAGATTCGAACTCACAACCTCCCAGTCACGGAGCGAGCGCTCTACCGACTGAGCTACGGTGCACGGTAGAAATAAACGAGAAAAAAAGCCTAATCTTACTAAAAAAAAAAAAGTTCAATATAAGAGCATTTCCACCCCCACCCCCCCCCCCTCCCCCTTTGAAATGCTCTTGGTTGCATATTATCTAGGTAATACTAGTATTAAGATGTTGATTTTTTAAAATACTCTTTTATAAATATCTAATCTTTAATGGGTACCTGGCTAATCGTATCATAGATGCTGTGTTATTATTTAAATGTACATGTAAGATGTATGTCTTCTACGATAAAGAAATTATATCTACTCAATATCATTTAAAAAAAGTTCCAAAAATCAGATCTATGATATTTGTATTTAATAGATCAATTTTAAATACTAGAACACTGTAACAAAAATTAATAATAATAAAGAGAATGATGAAGAAGGAATAAATAAAGGCTATGCCTATGACTTTATGAAGGTAATTTAATGCCGTAAAATTACTGTCTCTTCCAACAAAAGAAGGCTATTCTATATGGTTTCCTTTAAATGGCACTTCTAAGAATGGCCGACTTGAGTTTTTATTATCGGTCTTTACTTGATTTTAATTTCTCTCTTTTGTTCATCCCGACATTTATATCTTCAGACTAGACATTTTATCCAAGAAAAGAAAGCAAATCTGTAGGAGGGATTCCATGGAAATGCATCATTTCATTTCCAAGAGGTGCCTCAGAGATATTTTGTTTTACGTTTCAATATAGAAATGCCACATAAATATATTGGGTTTTTATTCTGATGATCAACGTTTTATGACCCTATATTTTTGTAGGAATTTAGAGAACACGATTTTCTTCAGCTTGGTACAAAGAAAAATATAAAAAAAAAACTGAGAATCAATTCCATCTCTTTATTATCATCAATGCTTTCTTATTGCCATTTATTTCATTAAAGACCAGTAGAGTACAAACCATGGCCATTAATTGATATAATCTCCCCGAAATAAAAAAAAAATCTAAGATATAGTGCAACAGATTTTACAACTTAATTTCAAATATTTATTTGATGAAAGGTTGTTTTTATATCAATTGAAATTAATTATAGACATACTGACATACATATACCTACATACAGTTATCTTCGACTCTATAGAGATAACATTTAACCACATACACAGAACTAGAAACGATGTTGAAAACCTGTAAAAGGTGAATATGAGTTCTGAAAGTCGGACTTCGATAAGCAATCTAATATTAAATATACTGCAAAAAGCAAATAAGGTTTCAGCAATACATTCCATAGAACTACTTATCACCAGTCGATGGGCCAAACATGAAAAGGACCTTGACACTTAAAATAAATTAAAAGTATCTGATGGATCTTGAAATCTCGTATTAAACAGTTGAGGGCAATACGAAAACCATCTATCCTTTTCTTAAATGATTAAAGGGTAAAAAATATACACAACCATTCCCCCCGATAAATCAAAGTCCCAAGTTTTTAGACATCGTAGACAGATGCTTTTTTAGTAAAAATAGAACTGGTTAATTTACCTATCTTGTAAGTGGTCATTTGCAAAATTATTTTGTTAGAAAACATTCTGACTGTTCACACAAGTTCATATTAAAAAGATTCTCGAGATTCTGATAAACAATATCTATGTAGCTTTTGGAGATCAAGTTTTCCAACAAATATGTTGGAATTTACCCTAAGTATTAATTAGGCCCAGTAACTCGCTAACCTATTTTTATATACATATGAGGCAGAATATTTTCAAATAGTTCCTCATGAAAAGAAGAAGTCTTCTGCTTTGGCCTTCAATTTGGCATTTAGATATATCGACGGCATTTTATCAATTAACAACTTTCAATTTGATTGGATGTATCCCTTTGATTGATTGATTGATTAGGGTTTAACGCCGAGTCGGCAATATTTCAGCCATATTTCGGCGGAAAATTAATTCTGTATGATCGGTTTTGAAAGATTTTTGGTTTCTCTGGCGGCCCCCAGTGAGCCTACTCTTTTCCGAAAACCAGAAAAACGATCTTTTGCGTGCCAAGGGGGTTGCAATCCTTGACACGGGGCACCATTTAACGTCCCATCCGACGGACTGTATCCCTTTGAACTAAATAACGAAATAAAAGACACCACAAAGTCTGATATGTCTGTTTCATATTTGCATATTATACTAGAAAAAGACGTTAATGGCAACCTAAGAACAAAACTTTATGAATATCAAGATGACTTAATTATTTTTGTCATCAACTTCCCTTATTTATGTAGCAATATACCATAATCACCTGCATTTGGGGTTTATATATTCCCAGTTGATTCGAAACGCTAGAGCATGCTCTGCTTGAGGGCAATTTCTAAAACGAAGCAATCTGTTAACAAATAAGTTGATGATACGAGGGTATCAACAGTCCCGTTTAAAGTCGTTCAATGGTCGATACACTGTAATTGTTCACAAAAAATGTTTACAGATGTTTTTCATACAAATTGTAAGGTCATTATTTTCACACTGAATTGTTTACGGATTTATCTGTTTGCCCGATCATGACAAGGAGCAAACGGTGGGTATGGCCGGTGGATATGGGATGTGTACTCCTCCATGACACTTGATTCGACCTCGAATGTTTTTGCTTGCTCTGCTTCTAATTTGCTTCGTTACAATGGACTTTTGAGCTTGATTACTGACTGTTCGGGATCTATGATAAGACAAAAGTAAAATGTCTGAATCCAAAAAGAATATATTTGCAAATACATGAACCTAATATTCACACCTTTAGTTCAGTGTTCAAGTAAAACATATGAGATTCAAGGTATCGCAAAAACATAAGTTGCCTCTTGAATCAGAGATTTACTTTCTAAATATGAACGTACGCTTATCAAATTTATCTGTCATTCTGATAAATATCAAAGATTTATGAGAATGAGCGTCCAATAAAATGAAATGCCTTTGCCTAGATGTAAAGAAATACACCGTCTCGTGGGACCCTAGAGCTATTTGTTTCAGCGCACCTTATCCAGATCTCAGTCAGTGCTTCATATAATATTGATTTTTTTCTCGAAAATTGGTCAGCTGCTCGGTACATATGTATTTTTAAAGATATTACAAAAGAGCGCAATTATTATTCTTTTATTTAATTTTACTGACAATTTTACAAGATTGAAGTACATGTGTATTACGTCTTACATTCTATAAGCCGACAGAGTCTTTACAATGAATTAATGAGGAGAAGTGTTAGCTAGAGCAATGATTATTACACTGAACAATGTATGTCCTGATAATATTGCCAGATTTAATGTATTGATTAAGGAAAATTAGTAACTTTTGATACAAAGATAATGATTATATCAGATGTCCAGAGCTTAAACGCACTTTTTCAGGAGCAGCCATTGTTATATATCTAACTCAACCAAATGCTTTTTTGATAGATTGATGTTTAAGAAGAAAAAAAATTAAATCGTTTACATGATATCAAGTTCTGTATATATTTTCAGACAGGTGATGACAGCTCTTCAGAATTAAATCTGTTCAAGATGGCATTACGAGAAGCCTATAATCGAGAGCTTGAGTTTTATGAGAGACAGGAAGCACAGATAATGAAGCAGATAGCGGGACTGGAGAACGAGAGGACTCAGGTTCAAGACCGGAAGAGGAGTCACATCCAGTGCCTTGTCAACGTTATAGCTTGCTACCGCAAAAAGTGATAGTGCGCAGCCGCAGACTGATAGCGTTTAAGAGAAGTTAACAGTGAAGTGTGCTAACACAACAAAGTGCAATAGATTTCTTATATTTCTATACATTTCCGTTAATAGGCCTAAATCGAATTAACTGTTACTTTTTTAGCTGTCGCAAATTGATTTGATGGCGCTGGTGCCTTTATAAGCTCTTCATGCCACGCCTTTTTATACAAACCGTTGATTTCAAAGTAAAAAGGAAATCAGTCTATAATTTTAATTTGACTGTTGTTGAAATCAAATGCTGTCTTTGTAAATGCAAGAACAATTAAATTTTGATGTTGGCTGTATAACATTATGGACAGTAAAGTGTCAATACCACTAAATGGTTTATTCTTTTTAGGGAAAGATTTCTCCAAAATCATCCAGGGGTAACACGTTATGATATTGCAACGTTGGTTTTTTGTATTAATTATTCTTTAATTACCATTTTTTAATAATTATTTAATCCAACACACGAGTTAAGCATGAATTCTTTCAACATGAAATTTCTTTTAAAAAGTTTAATAACGTTTGATAATGTAAAATAATAGGATTGAGATTATTGTCAAAAACAATAAAATAAAGAGGTACATGTGTTTAACATTTTGAAGATAAACAATACCAGGGAAAAGACAGTTTCCGAAAGCTCTAAACGTATCTACTAAACCAGAAATTACTTCGTAAGTGATCGATTTGTTTGCTTTCCTCTAAAAGAATTTCTACAATCAAATTAAACAGTTTATTTTATGACTTGTAAAAAGAAGATGAAATCTTGCTCGTCATTAACAGCTGTTCGGAATTGATACAATCTTAGACATGATGCTCACTTTCTAACAGGAACAAATCACTGTATAGTTATCTGATGGATATTTGGGTGATATGTTTGTAACAATATTGTCTTTGTTTGTAAGGTTTATTATAAATGTATTCAGAAGAAGTTGATTTTAATTTTACCTCTGGAAATCCAACTTACACTTACAATTCATTTTCTAAGGATGCAATTCTTCAAAATCACATTTAAGTCTTTATACCTTTTAATATTCCAGTCATACAAGGTTTGTTCAATCTACCATACCATACTGAATTCCTAAACTTCATAAAATCCTAACAAACAAAAGATACGTACATTGCAGAGTCCAGCAAATGCTCTACCAAGCCTCTATCATTACTCCCCACAAAGAACTACTGTAAAGGACAAACTTCAGATGTACTGTATTACAGCATATACTGGAGATGGTAAAAAGCAGATCTGGATTCTCGAAAGCTCCAAAGAACGTTTAGGAAATTTAAAATCACCAAAATTTTCAAAAATCAGTAACATCAAAATGTACATCTTTCTTACGCCGTAAGCAACCTTCCCTCATAATAAATAAAAACTAGACATTTTTATATCGTAGACAACAGCTACTTCAATAAAACAGAATAAACAGAACTCGGAAATTTTCAAATCTTCCGATTGGTCATCTACAAAAGGAGATGGATGAACAAAGCGCACAAAATGCCTATAGCTTCAGATACATAAAAATCATAATCAATTTGTAAATATAGTATTTAGAGTTAAGTTCTCATCATTGAAATTTATGATATTATGATAAACAAAATTTTTCTGAGGAAAATTTTCTCGGCAAAAATTACTCTGTTATTAAAGAAATCTGGTATTCGTGGGGTTCAAATCCTATCAATAAAAATCCTGAGTATAATTTTCTTTTGAGACTAACACGATAACCACTACGCTACATAGCTCCTGATGAATGGTGGTATTTAAATCATGTTTGTAATATGACCCTTGACTGAAAGGACCTCAAGTAATTCTCAGAAAGATGCGAATGTTGTGTCAAAAAATTGTATTTTAAAGGTATAGTGGGTCTTTGCTCCATGTTTTGGTTTAACCAAAAAATGTCTATTTTTACACAAAATTTAAGGATAAACTTTCAAAATTATAGAGCGAAGACCCACTCATTTCGAAAATTTGTGTTATGAAAAAATGATACTTTTTGCCCTCTTTAGTGTGTGTATGCTCTTTCATAAGCAAATAATTTCAAGCTTTGTGAGATTTTTGCAAATTGTGGAGATTTTACATTAAGTATACTTTAATGTTAGATGAAATATCAAAGAAAATTTTGTTATAATTGAGATTTAATTTTCACCTTCATGTTTGTCGCACTATAGGCATTGCGCTCGCCTTGTTTGCCCATCTTCTTTCTTTGTTCAAAAATTACCGATTCTACACACAAGTACTCTAAAGTTAAATGAAAAGTATTCTGGAGTTCCTTATTGACCACATCTATCTAGGCTTCAGAGACAAAGTTTTCCAACAAACTGGAGTTCCAATAGGTAAATTGCTGCCGACCTCGCTGTTTTTATATCCCTATGAAACAAAATTTATTCAAAAACTTGAGAAGAAGAAAACACTTGTGGCTTTCAACTCCACATTCAAATACATAAAAGACTTTTTATCAATTAACTATCGCTACTTCTATTTTATATTTCGTCTTGATATAGCCCATAGGCTTGAAATAAAAGAGTCCTCAGACTCTGTCATATATATTTCATATTTGGATGTTTTACTGACTTCAGACAATAAGGACCAACTAACAACTAAATTATATGAGAAACAAGATGACTTCAGCTTTTCCATCGTCAGCTTTCCTTATTTATGTAGTAAAGTTCCGTTATTACCTGTATTTAGTGTTTTACGTCTTCCCAGTTTATTCGATTCCCGAGAGCATGTCCTGCGTACGATCAATTTTCAAACCAAGGCAGACCACTACTAAATATGACTACGAACTTTTCCGTCCATCTCATCAATAATAGGGCTCACGGTGGGTGCGTCTTGTCAACAGAGGATTCTTACTCCTCTTAGGCACCTGATCCTACCTCTGGAATCTCAAGGAGTCCTTATTTTATGCCCTGTTTACAGATTTAAATTGGTTGTAGATTTCATGAGAATGATCACTGTTGTTTATCTTCACCTTTTTTCTTCTAGAAAGATAGTGACTGCAACATTCTACATGAAATAACTACTAGGAAACTCAAGTTATTTTTAAGCACTATTTGGAGAGTCTCAGACGTCCTGTATATCTTTGATTACATACTTATTGTGCGTCTATATTCATATACAATGATAAAGCGAGATCTACCCCATCAACATTTATGTAAAAAATAATTTATTTCTGGGTATAACACGTTATTTGATTGGATAAAACAAATTACTTTTATTATATCGTATAAACTGTGTTGCCAACGTCATAATGACTTGCGTCAAAAACGAATCGTTCCGCCTGATGTTACATTTAAATTTTATTCAATTTGAAAGCTTTAAGTTATTTTAAAGGACAATCGTCTAATTTTCTCACACTAAATGAATGAAATTGTATTATAAGGAATGAATTCAATTAGCCTCTTCAAGATAACTGCGGCACTACTCTTTTGCAGGGCAAACTAATAACGTTTGGCGGAGTTTTTGTTGACAGATAATTAAATGACGTATTTCAAACAATTGCTCGTATCTCATATTTATAATATACCAAAATATATCATTTTGCCCTGCAAAAGTGCAGTACCGCAGTTATCGTGAAACAGTCAATAGCTGTCAAATTTATACGTTATAAACTGAGTTGGAGCAGTCTACGATTCTTTTATAAACAGCTTTGCAGTTTATAAGGTGCAAACTCAGCCCCAACCCAGTTAATACCGTATAAATTGCGTAGCTACTAAATTCATTCCTTAATAAATTCGTCAAACACTTTCGCTATCTACTGCTAAATATTGATATTAGCTGTAATAAAATAAATATTTTATATTTTAATTATAACGGTTTTTTTACATTTAAGATCTAAAAAAAGAGATATGACTGTCTTGAATATAATTTTAAGTCATTTTACATGATCTCAACTTGGCTTTGGTCTAAAACCACGCCTTAAATATGACTGCAAATTTTTGATAGTCTCAGAACACTTTCGAAAGTTTTAATCCTGGCTGTCCTGAAGGATGATTAACTATTTCGATTGTTTTAACAGCTATGTTGAAGCTTTTACTGTTCGCCAATATCTATCTCTGAGAAACAATTGAAGGAATAATGATGTCAGTCAAGTTCGGAGTATTCTCATGATTGTACTTGATGAAATCACATGACGTCAACAGGTGTGGCTAATTCTAAAATCAGGCTTCTCCAACATAGAAGTAGGACAGAACGCAGTGGGTAAAATCTTACTTTACCTGTGTTATTTCATATAGGAGCACTATCGATAGCTAAGTCTAAAAAGGTACACCGAATTTAATTAAGACGTAAAAGCAATAATACCTGTAAATGTAACTGTACACGTTAGCCTTTTCCGCTTTCAAACCTCAGGTTCAAATAAACTTTAGGTAAGATTGTTTTTCATAAAAGAAATTTTTACTTCTGTTATTTGTGAATATACTTTTCTAATATCGGCATCTATCATCTATAAATGGATGTGTTGTATATGACCAATTGTTCCTTCTTTAAAGAAATCTGAAGCTTTCATTCGAATTCAATTCGTCCTGAAATGATCCAAAAAGAGTTCTCAAATTCATCAAATAAACTTTTTTCGATTAAAACTTTTAATTAATAAGAAAGATATTATTATAAAGAACGTTATTTTTCTCATAAGGACAGATTCTTAAAAAAAATGAGTGCCTGGATTGCATTGATATATATATATTTTTGGATCTAGTTTGGTTGTAAACGATGTAAATATAAAATTTCTAAAATATTACGAAATTGTAAACTTTCAGTGATGTTAAACATTCTACCTTTCTGGAATCATCGTTATAAAAATCTATACCACTTTTTAATCAATTTATAGAATGCTTTTGTGAAACTTTGTATGAAAAATATAAATTTATCCTGTTTAATTTTAATTATATAAATACGACTTTCTTTCTTGATTATTTACTTGTCTTTGGCAATGAAAGAAGACAACTTTTTCTTGCTCCTTTGGGATGTTTGGTCGAAGGGCGATGATTCAATCATTTCTTTGCCAAACAAATGACTATATTTACTAATCCGCACCAAAGTCTCTCAATCTCAAAGTATCTTTTTTATTAATTTTTTTCCTCAAAATTTATATATTGAAGTTACTTATTGTATTTTAATTGTACACCGATACTGCACGCCGAAGAATTATCTGCACTTTCATCTTAAAAAAACCCCGTATATTTCTAATGACAAGAAACCCAAACAAATACAGCTCTTGTACATGCACATGACTTCATAGAAAATAGTAGTTATAAATCAATGAATAGAAAAAAAAATCTTGAAGGATATTCTAGGTTGAAAAGAAACCAAAGAAAGAAAGAAAGAAAGACAGAAAGATAGATAGATAGATAGATAGATAGATAGATAATGATTTTTAAAGTATTAATAGTTTTGTTAGACAGTCAAGAAAACTTTATTATGTATTTGTAAAACGTCTGAAGATAATAATGAAAGCACTAACGTTTTAACCTGTGTTGCCTTTTTTTTTTTTAAATATTACCTATATAAAAACCGGACACTGTGAATGTTTCAAATTTGGATATATATACTGATATATACTGAGTTTAAATAGACAAAACATACATGCATATAATAAGTTCCTTCCTTGTCCTTAATTTGAATACTAGTATGCTACTTTGTGCCATTTTCTACATAAATGCATAAATATATACATTTTTGCACACATTCTAAGACAAAATAACAAAATCTTACGAATTTTTCCACACTTTCTCTCGCAAATATTATTTTAGTTTTGTATATGAACATAAATCTATTGTTAGATATATTGCTGATTTCTGAGAAGAAAAAAATCTCATCTTTAAAATAAATTCACCAATCTATGTGAGTATCTATTGTTTGCTAAAAATTGAATTAAACAAAAACGTTCTCAGTGTATTAGGGAAATTTACATCATTCATCATTGATCCTTTCAAATACATGTAGATATACCTCCTTGTAAATATAACTATTTCAAAATTCACCTTTTAGATACTAAAAAATGAAAACATTTTCTTCCCTTTTATTGAATAAAAGTAAAACATTTTAATTAACGTTTCACAAAACATAATACCGACAGATATTTTACTAACAAAGTTAATAATGATAGATTCCTGTTGGTAAATTCCATTATTCATAAACCATGATTTAGTAAAATACATTCGCATATACAATTTTAAGTTTTCATCAATTGATTCCCGTAATTAAAATATAATTCAAGATTTCGGAGTGAATTGAAAAACTTATGACATAAGCAATATTAAATACACATTTTTACATGTCACGTTCTTATTAAAGAGATGAACTTATAAAAGTGGGTTTGTAATACATACGTGAATTACCCATTGCAAAACAATCTTTTTAGAATGTGGTTTTCTAACCTCCTCGGTGTATGGAAGAGGTAATTTCTAGAAGCATATTCACTTGTTCTAGTTATTTATCCAATGACTATTACGTATATTCGGATAAAGAGATACATTTATTTTTAAACATGTGAAAAGATTCCGTATCAGTATTCATACCAGCATGCTATTTTCTTTTTATAATCAAGTATACTGGATTGCTCCTATAGCATTTGGTAAAACAGGAAAATACAACAAGTAAACATTGAGCAAAATAACAAAATCTACAATTAAGACATTTAACAATAATGAGATTCTTATGATCAAATGTTCCAGAGAGATTGTTTAGGACAACATTCACTCTATATTCAGGCTCCGCCTCCGCCACCTTTTCCGTCGTGTTCATGCTTTAATTTGTCCTAAAAACAGCATTAAATTGTAAGCCACCAAGTATATATAGCAGAGACTTTAATCTTATATGAAAACTGCTTATATTGAGGATCATTATAGACAGTAAAATGTTCATGTAATGAGTACGTTACATGCACGTCTCAACATGAAATTCTTTATTTTAATAAACCATTAAACTCATCTGGATTTTAATAATGATAATTTTTTTAAAACGCGCAGTTTTATGTAATTTGATTTCATATTTCTTGGAGCATCTGAAAACTTTAGCGATATAAACACTGAAAATATTGAATAACCAATTTTAAAAAAATCATAAACAGTTTCTCTAAAACTTCTGGGTAATGTTAAATTTATCCATTCAATAAATTCAATCCTTCCAAATATTAACGTGTATTTGTAATATACATGTATTATAATTATAAATTTCAGATCTCTCACCATTGATCTACAGCAATGACATATACCGTTCTTGTAGAGTAGGCGTTCCCCTCTGAAATCTTTCCCCCAGAAAAACTGGCTCTAGAGTGGGATTTTCTCCGTTAAATAGGCTCTAGAGTAGAATTTCCCCCACGAAAAATGACTCAAGAGTAGGATTTCCCCTACAGAAATCCCACATCAGATTCAATTTTCCGGGGTTGAAATCCTACTCTGTGTAATAACTATAGTGAGCGAGTTTACCCAGAGCCAATTTTCCCCCAATAAAATATCTTGGGTTTATTTATGTATGAGGGACAACATATTTTTACAACTGCCCCCTCTTCAAAATGGCGACCAATTTCATTGAAACATACGAAGTATGAAAATTGAAAATTTTAAATCTCATTTATTTCAGTAACCGTCTAACCAATTCTTTTGAAGCATTAAAATCTTATCCTTTTGATCAGGTCAAACTGGTTTCTAAAAAAAAAATACTGGTACAGTATTAATGTAATCGGTTACACAAATTCTTAACTGTGTCCATGAAACAAAAAGGAATTTTCTTTAAATAGATTTTCTCTCTCCGATTGTATTTCAAAACTACATGTACTTAATATTGATGTGTAAGTGGAACTAAGAATGGGTCACTGATTTCTTAAAAAAAATTAAATTTTGCAAAACATTAGGAGAATATTTGCTCTCAAATCCAATAATACACCGCTGGGGTAGCGGAGGCATATGCTTCGGCTTGAAGAAGCAATGCTTCTTTCATTTCACTTTTTTTAAATCCCTTTGTAGAACTACTCAGTTGAAATACTCACAAAATGGCATGAGGGCCCTATGATTAACATAAATTTTAGAATTTTATCACACACTCTTTTTAAAAAGGATCGATCGATAGGGCTTTAGAGGGCAAAAAAATTATTAAATCACTTAAGGTGGCCTGATATACATTTTAAACTTCGTGAACAAACACGTACCATTGCGTCGAGAGATGGTATTGAGACATCGAGTCATCCGACTTTTTGAGTTACTAATTTTACAATTTCCTATGAGGTAAAATTTTTAGTTGAGACTCAATGATTTGACATATACATGTATATTTTAAGATTCCATACTAAATTTGAACAATTCGTGAGTCGATAACACTCATATTTCCATTACAAAATCAGCTGACTTTCATATTAATATTTAGCTAAAATATTGTTGATATGATTTAAGCATTGATGAAAGAAGGGAAATCCTACTCTGAGAAAGGAAATCCTACTCTTAAGTATAGATTCCGGGGAAAGCTGGTTATGGGGGAAATCATCCTCTACAACACCAATATTAATGATATTAATTTAATTACAAATGTTTACCATTACGAAAAGAGTTCGTCCATGTTATAAGTCGAATAGGAAGTGTCTATGTGAAGTTTTGAGTGATGAAATATTGAGATAGCGCACAGTATTCAAGCTCAAAATCAATTAAAACAATAGAAATCGGGAGCAGAGCAAACGCAGACCTCCAAAAACAACTGAGGTGGGATCAGGTGCCATGGAGCAGTGAGCATCCCCTGACGACCGGACCGGTAACACTTGATGTGTGCTCCTTGTCATGATCGGGAAAACGAAAAAAAAACCTTAAACAATTCAATGCGTAAACAATGAACCAACAATTAATTTGAAAAACGTCAGTCAGCACCGGACTCAATGATAGGTTGTATTTGCTGACAACGTTAATGTGTCGACCATAAAATTTGCGAAATGGTGACTTCAAACGAGACTGTAGATATCCTTGTTTCATCAACTTGTTTGGCAAGAGCTTGCCTCGTTTTAGAAAATGTTCAGACGTAGAGTATGGTCTTGTGTGTAATGATAATAATAAGCGATAAATTTAGAAGCAACACCATACGTTAATTAATGAAGGCTCTGCGCATTACAATTTTTTTTTATTTTTTAACAAAAGAATCGTTATGTAGAGTCTTTTGTTTCCAGTTTTTGTTTTTTCTATGACTCATCTGTGGCTTTTCATAGCCTAAAAATGGGTAAAATCTTCTTATTGACTATTCAAAGGTTACTTAACTCACCAATTTAAAATGGCAAAACAGTGCGTGGTTATGAAAGTTTTGGTATTGGAAGATACAGAAATAAAGAAAAGGACAGGGGAAAAATAAGCGAGTAAATTTTAACTGTATGTTAGAAACGATGTCTGGGATAAGAAGCAAGACCCACAGAACAAAATCCCGTTCTTCAAAAAACAAATAAAATTGTAACAGGCAACAAAACAGAATGTGTTAGTTCCGAAAGGGATATATACAATGGCACAACAGCAATACCTTTTCAGATAGGTATAAAATATGCGACTAAAAGAACGAATATTTACAGCTGGAAACTGCTAGAAGCACTACATTTTTGAAAGGATCAGATCGCTAGATTACGTGTTCCTATTAAGCAAACAGAATACTGATACACAGAGAGGAAAGGCAATTAATATATAGGAAAATTGCTGATATTTGGGGGGGGAGGGGGAGAAAAACCAGACAAAGACAGAAATTTGCAAAAATTCTTCTTATTTTACAGATCTTAATGAAAAGAAAGCAATAACAAATCTTAAATCAAACAAATTATAAATTGAATTAAGTACATATATATATATATATATATATATATATATATATATATATATATATATATATATATATATATATATATATATATATATATATATATATATCTGCAAAAAAAACTAATCTATTTAGAGTCATTTTTTGCACACCTTTGTCGTAGAATTAAAGAAAACACAAACATAAAGACAGAGAAAATATCTCGGTCAGTCTCTTTAAGAGACACATACTGCAGAAAAAAAGATAGAAATAGCAAAACATGATCTTTTGGCAATTTGAAAATAAGAGTAAATGACAGACGAAGCTTGAAAGATTCTTTGCACATTCCCTTTGAAATTAGGGATACATGTACATGTTAGTGTGCATGTGATAGGAATCAAAATTCAACCATGCAAGTGACAGGGCATCTATGGTGTACTTCTGAAGAGGTAAGAAGTTTTTCAATAAATCAATTTAACTTACCACCAAGAAAATTGCACCAAGTAGAAGAATCTTGTGGGTAATGATCATGTCCTTTGGAACTGAAAATGAGCAATTATGTAGCAAGTTTAGCAACTAAAATAAAAGTATCCCGACTCTCTGTTCAAAAAGTACTCCTTATTAGGGCATATCTGAGTATGAAAAAAAGAGCTGAATACTATCTGTTGCAAAATTATAGCTGTCGAATGTTAATTGAAGGTCAATATTAGGCCCTAAACGTATATTGTGTTATAAATTTTTATCTTACTCACATGTTAATCCAAAATTGTCCGCATCTGAAAATGTTTCTTGATATGTTCCTGCCCATCGTTTATAGATGTTAGCAATATTATTTCCATCCATATCCGTTATCTATTAAAAAATTCAACAAACAAACAAGCAAGTATTTATATGTGACGCAAGGATATCGAAAAAAAAGAATCTATTGCATCTGATATGCTTTAAAAACCAGTAAGTTTTAATGGCCATCAGCATTATTCTGGTTTGGAGAAATAAATTAATGGTGACCGATTTATATATATATATATATATATGGAAAGGTCCACGTTGGTTACGTATTATTTAAAAAAAATGAGAGTTTATATCATTCTTTTACATATCATCTAGAAGGTAATAAAGATATTTTATGTGTATTCTATATTTATGTATAGATTGTAAGAATGACAATCATATGAACATTCTAGATTATCTAGATGGAGGGAATGACAATCAATTAAGTATTTGATATTACATGGATGATATTCATTCATGTTTGTATTTAACATTATCTATATTGTAAAAATGACAAATATACATGTATCTGTATCCTATATTATCTGGATAGTAAAAATGACAAATATACATGTATCTGTATCCTATATTATCTGGATAGTAAAAATGACAAATATACATGTATCTGTATCCTATATTATCTGGATAGTAAAAATGACAAATATACATGTATCTGTATCCTACATGTATATTATCTGGATAGTAAAAATGACAAATATACATGTATCTGTATCCTATATTATCTGGATAGTAAAAGTGACAATGGTATCTGTATTCTACATTACCTTAATGACAATAAAATATTACCTATATATTAAGAATAATAATTTATTTTTTGTGCATTCTATTTAAACTGGATGGTATGAATGATAATCATATCTGTATTCTATAAATCTGGATTGTCGGAGGGATATTGTATAGTGTATCCTATATATATATCTAGATTGTAAGAATGATATTTTATATGCATTCTAATTAAACTGGATGGTAGGAATTTCAGTCATATTTATTTTCTTTGTTGTCTAGATTCTAAGAATAATATTCGTACGTGTAATTTCATCTATTTGGAAGGCATTTATAATATATGATATACTTCTGTACATGCTGCATAATCTGGACTGTAGAAATGACCATCACATCTGTATTCTATGTTATCTGGATGACTTACTGGATATTCCAGATCTCTTGGACAACATGGTCCTATACATGTACAGTCTTCACCAGTTAATCTGTAGAGAACCTTTCTATTGGCATCTAGAATCGCAGTCCTAAATCCGGGACCATCATGCCTATAAAATAATCTAGTCATACTCAATCCACGTGCTAATTTCACAAGGCATTCGAATATATAGAGGATATTCAATGTTTTGTAGTTGGATGTGGAATTTATTTCACTAGTGGGACAGGATTTTTTATCTTTCCACGGGTGAATATCAAACTAAAAAACATTGAATTTTCTGTTTATTACATTTTCTTTGATTTTTCCTTTGCCTCTGTCTTAAACACAGTGTCATAGGCTGTGACGTCTTAGTTGAACAGTTAAGACGTCATAGCGTAGCAGTTGTGAGAATAAAACACTGTAACATTGAATTAAGCAACATATTTGGGAAAAATTGGCAGTTTTAGTCTCTATCAAGACGGTTTAGTTACTATCTCTATCTTCGATAGGCCAGACTTTATTTTTACTTACTTTGATATCCTTTCACACTGTGAGAGAATATCACTTTGGTATCCTTTCATACTGTGAGAGAAATTCAAGGAATAAACGCAGTATTTCACTGTTGAAAATGCACATGTAATAAACATGGTGATTTATAAATGTCTGTAGTATGAATTGTAGTTTGCTGTGGTAAAGGGACATTAGATTACAGCAATTAATGACTGAATAAAACATTTTTTAAAAAAAATTCATTCTTTATAAATTCTAATTTTCTAATTTCTCGGAAATTCTTTTGAAAAAAAGAATACTTGCCATTCTCTTGCATACCCTACAAGGTTACCAGGAGGCGCCTCAATCACTAGTTCAAATCCCCAGTCCGGGCCTGATTTACAATAGGGCCATTCACATCCCTGGCACGTATCATGGCTCATTCGCAAAACTTCCTGACATCATATAAATAATAATAAATAAACATTTGTAGAGCGCCCTACATAATTAAAATTACTCTAAGGCGCTTAACAATAAGATTATAGTAAAATGAATGTACAAGATAGTAATTAAAGCTTTCAAAAATCAAAAAAGATGAAAGATACATAAAAATGGAGAAAAATACAGGAAAAAGAAAAGTTTAATAAATATAGTAAAATCCTATATTTACACTACAAAGTCCCCCCCCCCCCAAGCATTTGAGACATTTTAAAAAATAAAAATCATAGGGGTTTAAAACTCAGGAAAAGCAATCTTAAAAAGTGTGTTTTTAGCAATTTTTTAAAGACATCCACACTTTGAGCCAATTTTATGCGTGTTGGAAGTTCATTCATATATCATATATAATCATATCATATATAATGATGTATAATTATAGCATTATTCTTTTGTGATTTTTTTTTTATTTAAATGTGATCAGGCCATCTGAAACTGAAGGACTGGTACACAGCTTTGCATAACCTAAACTCCTTTTCATAATCTGTGATTTATTTTGAACAGTTCTACAAATGTCATGTTGTAAATTTTGAATTTACATGTACCGAGTGGCGGTAAATACAAAATTTACAACATGACAACTACGATGTAAATTTTGTATTTACTGCCACCCGGTATATTCAAAATTTGCAACATGACACAGAATTAAAGCAAGGTTGTGAGAAAATGTTCAAAGTTTGACGTTTATGTGTACAATATAAAATATTAAATGATTCAAGTTGAAACATAATTGATTCGATAAAGAAAATGAATTCATAGTACTTAAGGGCGTAAGACTTTTGCGGCTGAATAGTCTGAACATGCATGCAATTTCAAAGAAAGATTGCAATATCTCTAGCAAAAAACAGAGTTTGTAAAGGGATGCAGAAAAATATTATTTCTATTGAATGACACAAAGTGGGGGATCTTCCTATGTCAGTAGCAAGAAAACCATACAAAAGTCGTGCAATGACCGTCCTACAACTAACAGTATCATATGACCATCCTAAAACGTATTGATCACATGATCGTTCTACAATTTACAATATCATATGATCGCCATACGACTTACAGTATCATTTGATCGTCTCACAACTTACAGTATCATATAATCGACCTACAACTCACAGTATCATATGATCGTCCTACATTTCATAGTATCAATGATCGTCCTAAAAATTATAGCATCATATAATCGTCCTACAACTTACAGTGCCATTCGTATATGATAGTCCTTCAACTTACAAGATTATATGATCGTCCTAAAACTTACAATATCATATGATCGTCCTACAATTTACAGTATCATATAATCTTCCTGCAACTTACAGTATCAAACGATCGTCCTACAATTTACAGTATCATATAATCGTCCTACAGCTTACAGTATCACATGATCGTCCTAACATTTAAGGTTTTCGTTTAATCGTCCTACAGCTTACAGTATCAAACGATCGTCCTACAATTTACAGTACATTGTATCATATAATCTTCGTACAACTTACAGTATCAAACAATCGTCTTACAATTTACAGTATCATATAATCGTCCTACAATTTACAGTATCATATAATCGTTCTACAATTAACAGTATCATATATTATAGTCCTTTAACTTACAACATCATATGATCGTCTTACAATTTACAGTTTAACATGATTGTCCTTCAACTTACAGTTTCAATGATCCTCTTACAACTTTTAAGTTTAACATGTTAACTTAGTTCTACAACTTACAGTATCACACATAGTCAACAATGCAAGCCCCTTCCACAAAAAATATACATGTATGTTTTCAGAGCAAATGAATCTGTAAAAGGTAGTTGTTTGGAAGCGTTCACATTTAGCTGTGTTGTTCGATTCTCGTGACGCATGTCAAGGTTTTCGAGTCAAACAGATGTACCAGGCAGTCCTAAGACCGTTTAGGACTGTCACACAAAAGGAGTTCTCTTACAACAATTAAGCCATTTCCAGATGTACAGCAATAAAACACTTTCTAAAAGATTATCATAGGCCTACCTAACGATATTTGCATAAGTTGTTATTATTTTTATACAGAAATCCTGTCATTAGACTAACCTAACAGAATTGAAAATCTAAGGCGCACAAAATAACCAATCTACATTGTAAGACACACAAAATAACCAACCTAAGACGCACAAAATAACCGTTATTTACATTCGCAAAGCTAGGCTTATCTTTTGAAATCTTTACAGTATTTTGCTACTTTGATGACCCCAAAAAATCGTGAAAAAACTGCACATTTATAAGTACGTCGATGCAGTCGTAGGACATTGAAAGCATGACAAACCCTCGAAATTGATCCGAATGTCTGACGTAAAAAATAAAATGACACTAATTTTTAAAATATGTTCGAACTTTTCGTGGCATTCTTTTGACTAGTTGCTCTTGAAAATATACATTTTAATTGTGATCCAGTCGTAAACATGTTGTGCAACTTGTGTGATGTGTATCAAGAGATTTGCATGACGCCATAAAATGCTGATAGGTTAAACCTCAGAATTAATCCAAGACGGGCATAGAACAAAAACAAAAAAGAAAAATCATACAAGAAACACATGCCAATCCAAAGAATTCCTTTATGTAATATTGTCGTAGATCTTGTTGTGTAATATAAACGGTAATTAAAATGATGGCTATAAATCTGTTAACAGTACACAGGAGCAGCTTAGGGATATCCTATGAACTTTAATATGTTACTGATCGCATCAATATTACAGCGTTATTGGTGTCATTACTTTCAAAAGAGAATGCAGATTTTACACAATTTATTACCTGTCCAGTAATGTCACGGATGGGATAGACGAAGCCTCTGCATGGTCCATAACATATTCTCTCAAATTCCTCAGATTCTGTAAATATAAATACATGCGTAGTCTATTGAAATGATTGCTTATCAGTGAATGTGCCTTACTGGTCACAGACACATATACAACCTCTACGGAAATGTTTCGTGCTTACCAAATTATTTGTGATCTGAAGTTAAAGAGTATCTGTCAGCAAAAAAAAAAAAATCAAATTTATTAGAAGTTTTGATACTTAATCCTCAGAATTAACTTTCATCCAATATCCAACAATAAAAATTCTAAAATTTGAAATTTAAAGTTTTTGCTCAATTTAGCAAAAACTTTACTTAAAGATCGTAACACGTCAACAGTTGTTGAAACCAGGGGGAACTTAGGTTTTCTCTCCGTCTAACTGTCTGTCTGTCAGTCAGTCTCATTTTATAGACCACTGCAGATAGTGGTCTTGATTATTTCGTTCTACTTCAATAATTTTGCAGGAAATACTGCCCATGGACTTATCACCTGCTTGAGATATCCATTCAAAATGAAATTCAATTCTGCTTTAAATTTCAAGTGGAACTAGACTACACATATCTGTCCTCTAGAGTAGGCTTTCCCCTCCAAAGTCTCCCCGTCCCCGGAAAACTGACTCTAGAGTATGATCTCCCCGGTAAGTAAAATCTAAAGTAGGATTTTCCCTATGAAAAAATGACGCTAGAGTCGGATTTCAACTACGGAAATCCCACAACTGATCCGTTTCAATTTTCCTGGCGGAATATCCTATTCTGTACATGTAATAGTTATAGAGTACTTAGATTCAAATACTCACAAAAGGGTATGGTATATTGAACCTATCAATAATATAATTTTTTAATAAAAATTTTCTAGGCCGGTAGAGGGCAAACGAATTAAATCTCTAAAGGTGACCTGATATACATTTTAAACTTCGTGAACAGCTAGACAGGTACGCTGAACCAAGAAAGGTGTTGAGATATCGAGGCTTACGATTATCTAAGTGACTAATTTTACAATTTTCTATGAGAAAAAATTTTTGGTTGAGACTCAATTATTTGATATATACATTATGTAGATTTTAAGATGTCATGCTAAATTTGAACAATTTTTGAATAGAAAAACATCTCGTATTTCTATTTAAAAAAATCAGTTGACTTTTAGCCAAAATATTCTCGAAACAATTTTAGCATTAAAAAAAATAGGTAAAATCCTACTCTAAAAGAAAAACGAGGGAGGGGGATTTGACTCTAGTGTGAATCGGGGAGAAATCCTACTGTAGAGTATAGATTCCGGGGGGAATGCTGGCTATGGTGGAAATCCTGCTCTACAACACCGGTATAGGAATCGGTTTTGCTTTTGAAATGAACTCAGAATTTGCTTTTTTCATCTTCTTTTGTCTAATGGAAATAAGTATTAAAAGCTTCTAATTTTCACGTATATCTGCGTAATTTTATTTCTTGCAAAAGGAGGTATGTGTTATTTTAGCATTATATTTAAGGAATGAATTTAATACATGTAGCTACCCAATCTATGCGATATAAACCGGGTTAGTGCAGTTTAGGCTTTATAATCTGCAAGGCGGTTTATAAAAAAGCGTAAACTGTTCCAACCCAGTTTATACCGTATAAATTGGGTAGCTATTAAATTCAGCTATTTCCTAAGAAAAAAGATTGATTGCCCTTAAAAATGTCTTTAAATTGTAAAATAATTTTTTAAAAAATGAAACGCCAGGCGGATGGATATGTTTTTGACGCAAGTCATTGTGACGTAAGCAACCCAATTTATAATTATGATCTAAAGTATTTTTTTATCCAATCAAATACCATGTTATTACCAGAATTAAATTATTTACATGTATATTGAAAGTAGAAGGGGATAATTAAACTGTACTTACTTTCTCTTATCTTATACAGCTGTTCCCCCAATTTGTTGATGATATCATACTGATTCCTCCCTTCTCCACAACCACTCACTTGGAAATAAAAATTTATAAAATAACAAAACTCCTTCATATAATCGGTTTTTTTTTTTTAGCATTTCAAGAAAAATTCCAAGAATCTAGAACGTTTTGATTTCGAGTGTAAAATCTCACGGCACTTTTAAATATAATTCCCCAGCTTACTATTTTATATTTCGGCTTTACCCATAGGTACATGTAACTATTTTTTTTTTTTTTCGAAAGTGGAACTCGCAGACTAAAGTCTGAAGGAGTTTTAATTTAATGCTTTCTTTTTTACTTTAATGCCCTTATCCCAAAAAGTTCTTGAAAACTAGTATTATAATAGTTTATTTATAGTGCAAATTTAGCTTTTTCAATACAATACCTAGTCTGGTATTTATGCTTGCTGTCTGATTTATACGATATGCACAAATATTCTGCAAAAAAAAAAAAAAAAAAAAATAAATGGTTGAATGTTTTTATAATACTTTCAGAAAATTCCATGAGTTGTTTCACGATGATTTGATCCAAGTCGACAAGAAGCTCTAGCCCCGGTGGAACGCCCTCGATAGGCCCAGGATTTTCCATCCATTTTCTCTGTTCTGCATAACATTAATTAAAAATGGGACATAAAAATGAAATCACGATCTTTTTAAAATATCATAATATATTAGAGCAAAATGAAAAAAAAAGTATTGTATGTGTACTTTAAAAAAGCAGACTTCATATTTTAGCAGCTTTGGCGCAGACAACGATGCGCTAATTCATGAATACCGCTAAGAAACCATTTACATGTACATGTATGAATACAATATATACGGAACGGACATGTATAGCTCTATTTCAGGATTTCGCCAACAATTCCATACCTAGTGATTGCTTTAAATTTTGAATACGTCAATTTATGTACACGTACAGTAATTTGTCAATGTTTTTTTTTTTTTCTAAAAAGAGGGGAAAAATGACATAGTATGTTATTTTTTTCAATATGTATGCAAATAGGGAAAATAATAATACTAGTTACAATAAAAATCTACTTTTACCACCACATAAACAAATGATTATAAATATCGGTTTCACATGAATTAAAAAGAAATGAAGTGAAAGTTGACATTTATCATATTTTATTCCTAATTTCGCTTACATTAATTTAAAATATCATTCTTTCAAGCTTACATTGTAAGTAGAGCAGCATTCGTTTTTGAAATAAGTTTTAGGTAGTTGTTTGACTGTGTTGTGCTAGCTCTCTCTCTCTCCCTCTCTGGGGTGTTATCTTGCTATATTCTTATTTTTCTGTTTTTACACCTATCCAAGTAACTTTTTCAAAATTGAAAATGACATTTTCTTGAAGACATTTAATTTTTTTAATAACATATTTTGTATGGTAAACCATTTTCTGTAGATAAAAAATACAAATTTTAAATAAAATGTGACAAAGAAATTAACTATGTAATTAAAACTAAATTGTCATCGCTTCTCTTATAAAATATTACTTATTATAGCTCCTTGGATGGGCTGGCGCTGGATTACTGCCCCCTGCATGGGTTGACGTTGAATAACAGCCCCTTGCATTGGACGCCTTATTATCGCCCCCTCCATTGGTGGTTGTCTTCTAATTTCCGTCATTTTATTTTCTTTACAAAAAATAGATAGATGAACTCGTTTAAAAACATTAATTGTACATTCTTTCAATTTATAATAACCCGAGACGATTTTCGCAGAATTACAAATTCCACGGTACTGATTTGCAACAACATGTAAATATGTCCCTAACTGAACACGCTACACGATCTTATTTACAATAAAAGGTTAAATAAGGTCAACCATTTTTAAAAACGCTGTACAAATTATTCCAGATTATAGTAAAGGGAAATTCTTATGAATGAAAGCATTCTGTATCATCGAATCACATATTTAGGGGTCGTTATTTAAATATGGTTATGACATCTCCATTAAACTAGTTAAAAAAATCGATCTTCATTTTGTCAATATGTCATCATGGAGAGATAACATAGATCTATATATATTTACATGATAAATTACAACTTACAATTAATAGCTGCGACTATGTTTTTCTGCTCTCTTCTGACATCCTTATACGCTGCAGACCGCTGACCTGCTTGCACTACTAACTGCACGGTGAATATTGGGCACACGATTTTGCAATCCACCCAATGTAGCGTCTACACCCATTTAAGGAACGGATCCAATAACAAATGTGGCACATTAAAGTACATTGTTGGTGGTTAAATGCTTTATGCAGTGGATCAGGCTCACTCATCTCTTTCGACTTAAAATGGTAAATTATAAAAAAGAATCTTGAGGTATTCCATGAGGGTGTCACGAGTCCCTGAGCGAGTGGAAGGGATGGTACAAGACGGAGATTGGGGTGGGTGTGAGCGGGGGGGGGGGGGGGCAGAATAGTCCGAAAAACAAAAAAAAAAAAAAAACGATTTAGAAAAAAAAATATGTAATGATTTGAGCTAATGTATGTAGGAGTTAGGACCTCGATATTTTTTTCTGATAAAAAATTAATGAAAATGATTATTTATGAAAATATTTTAGTTAAAAATAATATAACCAATAATTTTAGAACTTACCCAAATAGTCATTATATATTCAAAAAAAGTTTAGCAATTTTAAAGTACTTTTTTCAATACTGAAGTGTTTGATTCAAAAGCAGAAAATTAATCTAGGAAGATGATTTTGAATATTTTTACTGAAAGACTTTATTTTACATTGTATGGTGAGCAATTTGGACCATATTCACTTCATTGTATCATTGTTTGCGAGTTTTTCCTTTGATCTAAGCCATTTATTTTTTCCTGATACACAACAGTTTTCTGTGGTGTATCTGTGATAGATCACACCTTCTTTCTGAAGAGTTCAAAGAAATAAAAAAAAATCGTATTTATTATTTAATTAGAATTTCATGTGCTTACATGACGTTAAATGAACACAAAAGTTATTGTAAAATTGAAAAACAATTATGAAATTTAATGCAGGAAAATTGAATCATTTTTCAATGCTCACACAGCCACTCAAGGCTTGAAAAGAAACACACAATTGTTAAACACTGATCCTGGCTTGAAGATATTTGGAATCTCAGCATTTTCACTTCCGGATCCAATTTCAGAAACGCCCCTTGTTACCACACTGTCGGACACCGCCACCGGATTCGAATTTTCATCTCTGAGATTTTCAGACTCATTCATTTTAAGCACGGTTGTTTCACTTTTCTCTTCTTTTTTTCGTGTTTGGCGGATTCAAAACTTCAGAAACACGCTCTTGCAGTACTGAATCAGATCGTTTGTATTTTCTGACTGCCGTTTCTGACCTGCATGTGACCTGTCCGAGACCTTATTTCCTGCTCGTCGATCCCAGCATGATATAATTGAGTAGAACACGTCCTCTTGCCCGAGTGGTTGGTAAAGTTTCCCTCCAGTCCAGCTTTACCTGTGATTTCCTTCATTAGCCCCTTTAATTTGTTAACTCCCAGTACTTGTTCACCATAGCGCACACAGACAATACCTGAGACAGCTAAAGGCCGGCGGTAAAAAGGTCCCTCATTACTAAGAGCGTCAAGATAGGTACGATATAAATCGGCAAGACATCGTTCACCTGAAAAAAAAATAAAAACGTTGAATGTTTTATTTGAATTTAATTATTCTTTAGTTAGAATAATCTAACTGTGTCTCGGGACAAGCCCTCACCACAGTTAGAATACGTCCAATATACTTGCAATGTAGCCAATCGGAGTGGATCCACTCCGAAATGATTTTGAAGAATAGAAAGGGGGTTCCACTGAAAATAACTACCAAATTAATCATAAGAAACCTTTTTGAGATTGTATATGCCTTTTAACCTAAAAAATAATCCATATAAATACGAAAATTCAACTCATTTTCTCAACGTTTATTCCTCGCTTCAAATTTAACGCCATGTTGACATTCCGAACTTTCTGGATTGTTCATAGAAAATGCACAGAGTTCGAGTTATCGCCCGTGTTTATTTTGCTACATTGCTAATACACGAAACGAATTCTTTCTTTCTTTTAAACCGGGTCCGTGGGACAATATCATTTTAACAATAGAACGTTCTATCTAATTTTCTATGTTCATCAATTATAGAGAAGAAATATGTAACGAAAACCTGTGTAGAGTACAATTATAAAATATACTAATATGAACAATTTACCTTCTTGGCAGTAAGGTTTCAAGTCTTTATTGGTTAGCTGCAGATGTTTCAGTCCCCCTTTGTATGTTTTAGATGATCTGCCCGTAAATCGAATAAATTTTTCTTGCTCATCATGTCCGATTTCAAACTGGGAACACTCTAAATTTCTGTGTTCGTCAAAGGCCCTCAAACCGAATATCTTACAGTTATAGAAGAAAACTGTATACTGTAGAGCTTGAGAAGAGTGTGACCCAAATACTCCACTAGTCCAGATTTTTCAACTTCCGGCAATAGATAGTTTTCAGTAGGCCCAAATTATCAAGAGTTATTTCCCGTTGGTTGCCATATTGGAGGTCAACATGCTCATATTCCTTCATTATTCAACCAACTTTAACTTTTTATACTGGCCATTGTGGGGTATGGAGCATTGTTTTTCTGAAAAATATACATTTGTAAAAGCCTCCTTTTTTCATAATTTTTATTCTATAAAGATTTTCCTCCACATATTTCTGCTACACACTCTTAAAATTGGTAAGACAAAGAGGAAAAAATACCAGGTTGACCACCAAGATGGCGGCCAAGGGAAATAACTCGGAGAGAAAGTACGTCGTATGAAAACTATGTATATTGGATCAGCTTGTCTCACTTTCGTGCCTAGGCCTTTTGATAACAATTCCTTCATGCGCGCGTCTAAAACTTTACGGAAAACGGCAAAGCGATGGTCATGTTCATCAAGAAAATTCATATAATGAATGTTTTCCTCTCGCGAGTGACGCAGTAATCCACAAACAATGAAGTAGAGAGTACGCGGGGGATATTCACTGCCGTCCTGTTTACGTACCTCCAATACAAAGCGTTGTAATTCAGCATTTCTGCGTTCATTTCCTTCATCAAAGGTACATTCTCTTGAGATAGTTTTCATCAATCTCCCTTGCAGAGTTGTCGTTCGTTTCTCTCTCAGACACCTCTGCGATGGGCTCACGTCAAGATTTTTGACATAACGTAAAAAACATGACATTCCAAGGATTATTTCAAATTATACTAATAGTTCTAAATATACTTAGTAAATATCTACTTTAATAGAGGAATATTAGTGCAGGCATTTAATTATAATGAATTTAAACAAACGCACTATTTCTCGTGCTTATAACTGTGATATTCGCGAGCCAACGACAGAGGTGAATGTATGAGCCGATGGTAGAGAGTGAGTTTTCATATGACATATTTTCTCTCCGAGTTATTTCCCTTGGCCGCCATCTTGGTGGTCAACCTGGTAATTTTTCCTCTTTGTCTTACCAAATCTAAGAGAGTGTAGCAGAAATATCTGGGGGAAAATCTTTATAGAATAAAAATTATGAAATAAAGGAGGCTTTAACAAATGTATATTTTTCAGAAAAACAATGCTCCATACCCCACAATGGCCAGTATAAAAAGTTAAAGTTGGTTGAATAATGAAGGAATATGAGCATGTTGACCTCCAATATGGCGGCCGACGGGAAATAACTCTTGCTAATTTGGGCCTACTGAAAACTATCTATTGAACATTTCAACACACCATTTCATATTTCTCCGAGTATTAGGATTTGTCTGAGAGTCAATCAGCTGCCGCAAATCATCATCTGATACAGCGTCAGCAAACTTCCATTCTATGACTCGTTAACACATTCAAGAGTTTCCATTTTCATGTCACCATCAATTTGTTCTAATGAATTCTCCCGCGAGAAAATCCCCAAGTCAAAATTTATAGTCCGATAGTCCATGTGTGTAGAATCTTCATCCCCGAGATAGGCATCAATAGATTGTGAAATGTTTAGGTTTCCCAACTGACCTATAGAATTCTCAATTTTTATTTCCGTTTCTACCGTATCTAAAAATTGGGATAACAAAATATCGCAGCCGTCATCCATGGTGTTCAAGGCAGGAAATATTCAAGAAATACAGCGCCCTATACTTTTCGACTCACGTGCTCTTTTTTCATTGATCAAGGAAATCGTATGATGAAATTTGATAGATCATAGCTAACTCAGTGCGTGGGAATATAGATGAATCATGTGCTATTAACTTGGTGTTGACAGATCATGGGTATAACTTAGTGCGTGAGAACAATGATACAAAACATTTAGAGTACCTTTTAACTCGTGCATCTTCAGATATCGGACTCGGGGGACAAGCCCCCTCGTCTGATATCTGAAGATACACTCGTTAAAAAGTACTCTTTATATTACTTATAACATTATAAAAAAATAATAAAATTCGGGTGTCGTGTCCTTTCATCCCAATTGTGTGATTGACAACTGCGAATTCTTTCAGACAAATTAAGCTCTAACTCCTGCTGCTGTCTGTAAATGATCGTATCCTGATCATAGGTGCATGAAAAGCCCGTGTTTATTTTGTTTTGTTTTGTTTTTGTTTTTGTTTTTTTAGATCCCCATGCGTTTAAACGCAATAATATTTTTGCGTTTAAACGCAATACTCTTGCGATTAAACGCAATACTTTTGCGATTAAACGCAATAATTTTTGCGATTTAACGCAATAATTTTGCGATTAAACGCAAAAATTTTTGCAATTAAACGCAATAATCTTTGCGTTTAAACACAATAATATTTGCATTTAAACGCAGTAATCTTTGTGATTATAGGCAATCATTTGTATCAAATCTTGCAGAATACAACGGACCAATGTGAACTGATATATTATATTTCTTTCTCTTATTCTACTTATAAGGAAATTTTGTAATGTCTAACTTTATAGAATCAGATTCCTCCGAGCAAACGCTCTTTGAAAGGATAAATCACTGATGTGAATTTACAGAGGAGAAAAAAATGTCGGGTTGTAAAAACAAAGACAATCCAAGAACGAAACATGTCTTTTTATCGCTATATTCTTAATGAAGATTTGATCAGTTGCTAACAATCACAAATCATTTTTCTATTTTGTTATTTTTTCTACTTTGAAACA